TCCCAATCAACTGTTGTTATTGTTATAAACAGCCTCCTGGGTGCTTCGGAGCTCATTAACTGTTTATTAATTGGAAACAAAGCCGCCAAAGATTGAGAAAAGATGTACACGTTCGTAAGTGCTTGCGTAAGTGCTTTCGCAGGTTTCTAATCACTGCTGGGTGAACAGAGGCAACGGGTGTAAGGAGACTTACCCATACGTCTCGCCCTGCCTGGGATGTGTTTGTATGTATGTTATGTATAAGTGAGTGCCAATGCACGATTCATTTAGAATGATTTACAACATTTATTAAGTTTTATAATAATGTCAAGTAAAAAATAAACAAAAAACTCAAGCAAATGGATAATATCGGTGTAGATCTTGTCAGCAGTGTTCCACCTTCAACGTCGTGTTGTTAAGATCACTGAGGTACGCAACTTAGAGCCATCGCACCTAAAAATTATGTGGTTGGAACCTTATACTTCATAGATCACTCATGCACGTACTCCAACCTCTCCCACTTGCATTGGTTATCTCATTGATATCACAGTAGAAGCTGGATCCCGACGATGCTTTGACCTTGCCGGACATGCAGACGTCTCTTTTTATGTATTTAACCTTAATTCCGTGATTGTTACACTAAAAAATCTTTACTTTGATCCCATTACGCTGACAATATTCCAAACATCATTTATTTCTTCATCAAAGGAAATATGGCTAGTTCATTGTTAACCAATCACATAAACATTGCTATTCAAAGGATCCTTTTGATTCCCTCTCACAGATCATCCAATCATATGTAACCCTGTGATGCAACCTTGAAATAGCCAACATGTAACGTTCGTTCGTGCAATTAATTGTCCAATTTCACCAAAACACCAACAAAACACGATCATTTAGACAAAAGCACTTCCCTATGACTGTCCCACGACAATACGTTCTCTCCGAAGTGCTTATAGACCACCCCGTCAGCGGTCGTATTTAGTATCTCAACAATAATTTAGTCTCAGAAATCTGCATATATATCATGACAATCTCATAAAATTAGAATTTCGATTATAATAAGGTAAGCATGAAACACATGTGCAATGAGACGTTAAACCAGGGAGTTATATCCCCTCGTGGAGGTTCGTGGTGACGCTGCCTCGGCCGTGGGACAGACCAGTCAGAGATAACTTTGCTACCCTCAACACGCCCAGATTGGGGATGAGAGGTGGGACGATATTTCTTTTGACGAGAATGAAGATTGTGCACGTGTTGGTGTTGGTGGTGGTCCAGGTTCTTCGGTCTCTTTGTTTGAGTATATTATCTATGTGGGTGGATTTTTTGGTCATGTAATACGGGTTTTAGAGGAATTGTTGTTTGAAGTGGAGATAAACATAAAATATATTGACAAATGTTTGCGAATTTATGCATATATAAGTAAATGTTTAATTTATATGTGGTGTTTTAAGGAGAGGTGTTTAACTTGCCTTAATAATTCCCGCGTGTCTGATTAGGTATTCTATTTTCTTCTCTCTGTTGTTGCATCATTGTTATAGCCTTGATTTTTACGTATATGAATGATTACTTAAACAAATATTTAATATCGTCAATTTTATTGCAAGTCAGGCAGTACTGAGTAATATTCGCCCCATTTAGGTTGTGACGTTAGATTTTGGTTCAAAAGTATACAAAAAGAATATCACGGGTTCAATTAAATGTGTCTATCAAAGCATAATATAAATTATCAAGGTATTTCAAATACCACTTATTTCCTTGTCGTTATCAGTTCCCTAACCTGTCCTATATCGTTAGTCCAGTCCTCTCCCAATTCCTCTATTGCTATATATATTATGTAAATAAATTACATTATTATATATATATATATATATATATTATATATATATATATATATATATATATATATATATATATATATATATATATATATATATATATATATATATTAAGTGTTTGACTTGCAACAATGATCGAAGCCGTTTTGTGACATTCATCAATGTGTCCCATTGTTGTGTTTTTCAAGAGATCCATAACCTTTAATCACCTTTTTGCATCATTATTTTTGTATCAACCCATGTATATCTTGTAACCATCAAATGCATAATAAAGCACAAAAAATAAAAAAGGAAGGGGGTGGTAGGAGAAAAGCACACAGAAACTGTATTGGAGGGGATCTAAACATTCCCTCCAATGCGTTATGCGTGGTTTCCTCCGAGGCTAAGGGTCCCCCTTCTTCCAGCTAGAGGTATATATATATATATATATATATATATAATATATATATATATATATATATATATATATATATATATATATATATATATATATATATAATCTTAGCTTCTCCATCTTAACGTCAGTGAAGTCTGGCTCGGAATGCAGAAGTGTGGTTAATGGTTTCAGCGGAGTATTTTAAGTCATATGACGTCTACTCACTTTGTAATCTAGACAAGAGCTGCCAGCCAGAGGAACAAGCCAGGGCAGATGTTGTGCCCGGGTACAGGGCACGGC